ATAATTTTCTCTTTTTTTATGTATTTTTAAACCTAAGAAACAATAAAACCATAAAATATGTATTTATTTTTACCCTTGGGAAATAATGGGTTAAAGGCGACGAGTTTCCAGTGTTCAGCAACAGTGTTCTTATTCGTAACAGTTCGCTGCGACGTTTTTCGGCATTCGTGTTTCTTGCATGGTACATAGTTGCATTTGCGTATTTTTTTTAATTAATATTTTGAATATATTTAAAAAATTTAATTTCATCTTTTGGTAAGTAATTTGCAAATATGTATACAAATATGCATAATATAATATTTTGGAAAATGGAGTATGACGAAAAAATCGAATTAATTAAAGATGTTGTATGATGTATGTATGAAGGAAGCCATACAAATTGATTCAGACGATAGTGAAAAGGGTGATATACATATGAATGTGAAGGTCTGTTATATAATCTTTGTTTTAATTTTGAACTATAAATAAAATGTATATCTTAATTGACAGAACTGAATAATATGTGATAAAGTGGACTAAATGCCTATAAGGAAAAAGAGACGACAGTGGGTTAAAGTAAAGAGTAGACAATGGGTTAAAGTAAAGTGAAAGAGTATGAGAAAAAACTTTAACAGAGTTGCGCAACACAAATTGCTCGTGTGATGTGTTGAACACTATGCTCGCGACAGACTGCAGCAGCACGACAGTGAACTGAAAATGACGTTGTGAATCCTACAGCATGAACAAAACAACGCAGTTGTCCATTTTGCATGTATACAATTTCGTTGTACCATGCATTTCAATGAAATTTTAATATTTTGTTCAAAGTGAGATTTTGTATGCAAAAAATAAGTAAATGGGTAAATTTATTTGTTTTAAATTATCAATTGTTATTGCAAATGATGTAACAGAGATATTTTATGCTTTTATTTGTAAAACAACGTCAGGTTTGTTAGAGCTTTGAATCATTTTACATTTTACATATTAGTGGCAACACCACTCTTCCTCATCTCTCTACTGTCGTTGGCGAATATAAGAATATATCGAAGTTAGCGAGAACGACAACTGTCGGCCTGCAGCTGTCAAAACAGGTATGTCCATAAGACCGTGTGTATTTTAATATTTGACAGATGTCGTTTGCAGTCTGTCGCGAGCATTGTGTTCAATACATTAGGCGTAATTATTAAAGGTCTTATTTACATACATAATATTTTCTAGTAGATACAACTGCTCACATAGTTTCAAAAATTAGCTCGTTTACAATGAGGATATGCGAAGAACTGGTTAACAAACCACTAGAAAAAAAGTTAAACGTTAGGGTCATTGTTCCGAATTTACTCTAAAACCATTAAAAACGCGGAGAGAATTTCCTAAACATTTTTAATACACAGACTTTTTTTTGTTATCAAAATTCATTTATTTCGTCTTGTACTTTTTGTTTTTATATAAACAAAATATTATATATAAATTCATGTAATAGAAGTAAAAATCATAAACTGCTAAAATAATTTGCAGGAGAGGAAAATCAATTAAGTTCAAAGTAAATGAAATTCTTACGAATGAAGCGCGTAAAAATTCTTAATAAAGGAATCTTGCATGTTCAATGTGTCCTCTCTTAATCCCAATTTTCTTCTTCTTCCAATGGACCAGGACCAGCCGAAGTGATGAAATTGTCATCGGACTGAAAAAAAATATATATATTACAGCATCTAAATACACTTATACATACATATTTAGCACAAATGTGTACATATATTTATCGAAGAAAATCAAATATTTTCAAAATATAAACAAAAAAAAAAAACGGAAAAACAACCAAATTCTAGCAGTTGCTCGGGTTACATACACTTGTGCTCACATAATTAAGCCACTGCATAGCAAAACTACGTTTCTGAAAATAAATTCACCGAATTAGCTTTTCATTTGTATAACGGTAT